TGCCAGGATCAGTGTGAATGAGCCACAGGTGCGTGTTCAGGGCGGGTTCAGAGGCGGGGAATCAAGGTCCAGTTCCGCCCTGGTGGGAGAGGCTAAGACAAAAAATACACACACCACAACCTCTCCAGATCTTGAGAACCATGACACTACTTCCTTCTTATGTTTTTGCATATTAGTCACAGTTACACACTTCAGATCATGTCTGCAAAATGTAGTTTTCAAATGTTGAAAAATGTTATCCAGGCCTGTACATCATGAAATGGAGGAAGTGAATAAAACGAATGAATCATTAATCTCATGAATTATTCTTTCATTGTAATTTATTTCCTTTTTTTCCAGGCAAACACTTCGTGGATAAACACAGAGTCCAGCTGATCCAGAGGGTCAGCAACGTCGCACCTATTTTAGATGACCTTCTTGGCAGTGATGTTATCAGCCAGGAAAGTTATAATAGCATTATGGCTCTGCCTACCTCACAGGACAAGATGAGGACACTCTACAGTCACCTAAATACTGAAAGATGCAACGATATCTTCTATAAAATCCTTTTGGAAAATGAGAAACATCTAATCGATGAATTCAGTGCAAAGTAAAACATACAATGGTGAAAAAACCTCTTTAGACCAAATAATCTACCTGAGCATAGATTCTGTTGGAAATGTCAGTGTGCAAGGATTTTATAAAACGTTATTCTACACTTATATTTGGTGAGATGTTTATGGTATGTGGTGCCTCTCCTGATCACTGAGCCTCTCATTCTTTCATTTCAAACTAGAAATGTCCCTAAATGTTCATGTAAATGTGCTGTATATCATGCAAAACAATCACTGAAAATACCAGATTTCCTCCACCTAACAAATATCAAAATGATCACAACTATACTTTTTGTGAAGATTTCTTATTTTATACATTTGAATGTGAATTAAGTTTAAATTGAAAAATCTTCCTTCACTAAGAATTTATTTTGGTGCTTCATTCAAAATGTTTTGTAATTTGAACTATTAAATAAAATCTTCATTTTTACCATAAGCAGAAGAAGACTGGTGGATATTATGAATAATTAAACTATATAATATATAATCTCCAGGTTTCCTAGTTCTTTGCTAATATGATGAAGACTGAGGATTCAGGGGTGTTTGCAGGATGTTTCATATGTGGTAGCACAGCTGGGACAATAACATGACAGGTCATCATAATATTTCATCATAAATACATAGAGAGATGCAGGTTTTGTATTATGCACATATTTCAATCTGTTTGATTTTTTAAAAATATATAAATAAAATATCTTGTCATCCTGCTGGAACCATCAGAAGATGGGTCCACTGTGGTCTTCCTTTTGCATTGTTAGTAAGCTACAGATGAACATGTTAAAATGCTTTCCTTAGTTCCAGGTGAGCAGAAGCAGCAACTGGTTATGTTGGTTTAAGAAGATGTTATCAGGAACAGTGGCTTGAAGTTTTTGTCACTTGCTTCATGTCTGAAGTCAAAATGGGGGGTGCCAGGGGGAGCTGGGCGACAGCTGTTTAATCACGTCTCCCCTGTTAGAGCAGCACACCGAGAGGCTGAGAGTCAGAGAGTCAGAGAGCAGAAACAGCAGCAGCAACACACTGAAAGACTGCAGTGTTAGATGCCTTAGTCAGGTTCCTCTCCGGCACCTCCACTGCTCCCCTCGGCCCCAGGAGTTACTCTGTACCAAATGGTGGAAGGCAGCGACCCCCAGGATACCCTAGAGGTCTTCAAGGCACGGAGGAGTGGTCGTGGCTCTCAGCCTCCCCACAATGGCAAGGACTTTGTTTGAAGTCACTACAATAAAAACTAGAGGTGTGCAGATCGATCCAAATAGCGATAGTATCAATACCAACACTAGTATTGGTATCGGATCGATACTAGCACCATTGGATTGATACTTTGCTTT